CCCCTCCACCCCCCACCGCCAGCTCGGAGTCAGGTTCTGTCACCATTAAGCGCTCCGAGACGCTACCCTGCGTGGAGGGCGCTATTATAAAAGTCGTTGTTGTCGTCGCTTGGTATATCTGAAAGTATTGTTCTGGTTTATTTTCTCAATCCTATTAAAATCTTCTATGTCTTTGTAAAGTCCTCTCTGATGTCTCTTATGTTGCTGTGACCACAACTGTGCATAGTACCTCAGATGCAGCAGACCAAAGCATTGCACTTGAGCATGATTTCTTGGGAGCTGAAGTCAACTGATTTGGCAATATAGCACAATATCCTGTTTGCCTTGCTTATTGCTTACTCACACTGTTTTAATATGATGAGTGATGAGTCAAAAGACAACCCCAGGTTTCTTTCAGCTTCCCACTCAGCAAGTTCTCTCCCACCCGTGGACTATGTGTGCCTCCGATTTTTACTTCAACAACAACTAATTACATTTGTGTAGCACCTTTTGTGTCGAGAGGATGTCCCAAATCACTGTAAAAAGAATACCTGGCTTGCATTTATCTATGTTGATCTTCGTTTACCAGTCATCAGCTCACATGCATCAAACGCGCCTCGTAAGACCTTTGGTGCTTCTGCTGATTCCACAGTTGCCCCCAATCTTGTGTCATCTGAAAATGTAGTTACTTTGAGTGGAGTTTGCAAATCCAGGTCATGAATGTATAGAAGGAACAGGAGGTGCTCCAGTACAGACCCCTGAGGCAGCCCACTAAATACCTCCAACCATGGTGACCCAGCTCCTTAATAACTCAATGTTTGTTGGATGTTGGGGAGAGGAGGCATCTTTATAGTCTGCTCTATGGGGAAAAAAGAAACCCTTCAGGGAGTGCAGTTGTTCAATATGTTCACTGTCTCCTGTTCATTCTCTTTTTCAACCTTCGTTGAATCTCCTTTTGGGATTTTGCCTTTTCTGGTGATTCTGTTTCTGCAATATTACTGAACACTTTCTTTGGCGTTGTCATTTGCATTTGCTACTTCCAGCATAACTCTGGCCAGTTCTCTCTGGGCTTCCCTGATCTCTTGCGTTAAGCCCTATCTGAGCGGTTTCTTGTATTCGGGTCCCAAACTGCCGCAAATATACAGTCAATTCACTTTACAGTGTGTTCCGGTGAAGCGCTTTGGGACGTCCTCCCGACGTGAAAAGCGCTATATCAAATGCAAGGATTAGTATTGTTACTATCGAAAAGAAAACGTTGGTACAGAATTACAATGATCGATGTTGAAATCCTGCATTGGTGTGATACCATCTTCCTCCTTTCTGGAAGACTGTTGGGATGACACGCTGGATCGATGGAAAAGCCAGATGCCAGGCAGGGAGCCAAATTGCCCAAGAATGTTGACTCGGGCAACACTTAACGTTGTGTGTGTGTGTGTGTGTGTGTGTGTGAGGAGGTGGAGTGTGGGACATTGCAACACCCCTCAGTTGTGCAGCAGAGGGTGCTCTTTTGATATCCAAATGCAGGCAATTTGTGTGTTGTCCAAACCTGTTCGTGAGATACGAGAAATCGTGCAACTTCCCTACCAATCTCAGACCCCCCCCCACACCCTCCCACCCCCCACTCCCCTCCCCACCACCATCCCAACCACCCCACAGCCACTGGGAAATCGATGCTCCTGTGTTAGTATCAACTGTGACAACTTGCTCGCTTGCTGCGTAAATACATAAATAGATAAATGGATAAATAAAACAAAATAAATAAGCAAAATCAAATGCAAAAAAAAAAATTGTGTTAAGGTGGGACGTCAAGGCAGAAGGCACGACTGGAAAAGCAGCAGTCGGTGGCTGTGGCTGCGCTAACGCGTTTCTATCGCCTTTATGCGCTGTGTCTGCTCGTGCTGTGCGCTGAACAGCGAACGTGTTTTGCGCAATTTGCTGTACAGCAAAAAAATCCTTGTCCAGCCTCGGTTCGTTCGTGAAACACTGGTGATGCTTATTGTTAGACTGTGCCCCCAAATGCAAAGGTTACAGACATACATATACAATGCATACATACATATACACACACACACATACATACACACACAGATATACACACACACACACACATACATACATACATACATACATACACACATACACACACACACACACACATACATACACACACACACACATACATACACACACATACACACACACACACACACACACATATACATACACACACATACACACATACACACACACGCACACATACATACATACCAGCCATCCGCAATGTTATTTGTTTGTGGAATGCACACACAACTCTCTCCCCCCCTCCCCCCCCCCCCCCCACCACACACACATACATATACACATAACCCCCCCCCACCCCCCAAAAAAAAACGATGCAGGTTAGAGTTAAAGGTTACTGACAGCTGTCAGACAAAAGTTCTGTTCTCTGTGATCTGTGTTCTGCTGCGGTGGCAGCAAATACCAGAGGGAAAATGGGCAGATGCTTTGGTGGTGGGGTGGGTGGGGGGTGGGAGGTGGGGGGGGGGGGGGTGGAGGGGAGTGTGAGAAGGTGGGTGGGTGGTGGTGGGTGGGGAACAGGGACTACGAAGTGGGAGAAAGCGACCAGGACAGGACATAACGAAGCTGAAGTTTAGTATCACACAGATGATCTGAGGATGGATGGCCTGGGAGCTGGGAATCCTGGTGGGTGGGGGGGGGGGGGGTGAGTGGGGGTGGGGGGGGGGTGAGTGGGTGGTGGGGGGGTGAGTGGGTGTGGGTGGGGGGGTGAGTGGGTGTGGGTGGGGGGGTGAGTGGGTGTGGGTGGGGGGTGAGTGGGTGTGGGTGGGGGGGGTGAGTGGGTGTGGGTGGGGGGGTGAGTGGGTGTGGGTGGGGGGGTGTGGGTGGGGTGAGTGGGTGTGGGTGGGGGGGGTGAGTGGGTGGGTGGGGGGTGGGGGGTGAGTGGGTGTGGGTGGGGGGGGTGAGTGGGTGTGGGTGGGGGGGGGTGAGTGGGTGTGGGTGGGGGGTGAGTGGTGGGGTGGGGGGGGTGAGTGGGTGTGGGGGGGTGGGTGGGTGTGGGTGGGGGGGTGGGTGGGTGTGGGTGGGGGGGGTGGGTGTGGGTGGGGGGGTGAGTGGGTGTGGGTGGGGGGGGTGAGTGGGTGTGGTGGGGGTGTGGGTGTGGTGGGGGGTGAGTGGGTGTGGGTGGGGGGGGTGAGTGGGTGTGGGTGGGTGGGGGGTGAGTGGGGGGTGTGGGTGGGGGGGGGTGAGTGGGTGTGGGGGGGGAGTGGGTGGGTGTGGGTGGGTGGGGGGGGGTGGTGGGGGGGTGGGGGGGGGTGGTGTGGGTGGGGGGTGGTGGGTGGGGTGGTGGGTGGGGGGGTGAGTGGGTGTGTGGGGGGGTGAGTGGGTGTGGGTGGGGTGGGGTGTGGGGGGTGGGGGGGTGGGTGGGGGGGTGTGGGTGGGGTGGGTGGGGGGTGAGTGGGTGTGGGTGGGGGGGTGAGTGGGTGGTGTGGGTGGGTGGGGTGGTGGGTGGGGTGGGTGGTGGGTGGTGGGGGGGGTGGGTGGGGGGGGTGGGTGGGTGGGGGTGTGGGTGTGGGGGGGTGGGTGTGGGTGTGGGGGTGGGGGGGGTGAGTGTGGGTGTGAGTGTGGGTGGGGTGGGGGTGGGGGGGGGTCTGGTTTAGCCTTCTCCGAGGTGATGGGGACTCCGGGACGTGCCGATTTGCTCCAGATGATAAAACCCCGGTGTGGCTGAGCCCTGAGCGCACTGTGTGTGGAGGGTATTGGAGAGAACACTTCCGGTTATATACAATTTGTCTCAGTGTTTGGGAGCTCTCAGCCTCCAGAGCAGCGAGTGGCTCTCACTCACTCACTCACTCACTCAGCACATCGGATCTCTCTCTCTCTCTATCTCTCTCTGTCTGTCTCTCTCCCCTCTCTCTCTGTCTCTCTCTCCCTCTCTCTGTCTCTCTCCTCTCTGTGTCTGTCTCTCTCCCCTCTCTCTGTGTCTGTCTCTCTCCCCTCTCTCTGTCTCTCTCCTCTCTGTGTCTATCTCTCTCCCCTCTCTCTGTGTCTGTCTCTCTCCCCTCTCTCTGTGTCTGTCTCTCTCCCCTCTCTCTGTCTGTCTCTCTCCCCTCTCTCTCTGTCTGTCTCTCTCCCTCTCTCTGTCTGTCTCTCTCCCTCTCTCTGTCTGTCTCTCTCCCTCTCTCTGTCTGTCTCTCTCCCTCTCTCTGTCTGTCTCTCTCCCCTCTCTCTGTCCCCTCTCCTCCCCTCTCTCTTTCTCATCGGCTCCTCAATACACCCGTTTGCAAACAGGCGACAGTGTTTAACATTGATCTGGTACCTACCTCACTCAGGTTAATCTTTCCCACTCCCCTCCTCCTGCTCTCCTCTCTCTTTCTGTCTGTCTCTTTCACTCTGATTCGTTTTCTCTCTCTCTCTCTCTCTCTCCCTGAGTTGCTTTTTAATTCCCTTTCCCTCTCTCTCTCCCTGAGTTGCTTTTTAATTCCCTTTCCCTCTCTCTCTCTCTCTCTCTCTCTCCCTGAGTTGCTTTTTAATTCCCTTCCCCTCTCTCTCCCTGAGTTGCTTTTTAATTCCCTTCCCCTTCTCTCTCTCCCTGAGTTGCTTTTTAATTCCCTTTCCCCCCCTCTCTCTCTCTCTCTCTCCCTGAGTTGCTTTTTAATTCCCTTTCCCTCTCTCTCTCTCTCTCCCCCTGAGTTGCTTTTTAATTCCCTTTCCCTCTCTCTCTCTCTGAGTTGCTTTTTAACCCCCCCCCCCCCCTCTCTCTCTCTCTCTCTCCATTTCACCCTGATTCGAGCTCTCTCTCTCTCTCTCTCTCTCTGTCTCTGAGTTGCTGTGTGTTTAGGTTTGGGTTTGGGTTTTTTTTTCTCTTGGTTTGGTTGGAAAGTCCTAAATGCCATCAGATCGCAAGCATCAGTGAGTGGGAGAAGGTGTGCATTTTCCTCTCTCTCTTTCTCTCTCTCTCTCTTCCCTCCTTCCTCACTCCCTCCCTCCTAACCCACCCCCCCCCCCCCAAAAAAAAAAGAGAAAAATCCTTCCTATTCGCATTCTTCAAGTGGACAAGTGCAAACTTCCCTGATACATTATGGAGGGTGTCCGGAGCATTGGCGTTGTGACTGGTGGAGTGTTTTTGTGTGTAGCCCTGGGGAACCTGCTCCATCTCAGCCAGGGACAAGTCAGCCACAGAGCCGAGGGTAAGAGCTAATTTATTATTATTATTATTGCACACATTATTCCTATTGATCCCTCCTGGAGCTCACCAGTTGTGATTTCTATGCTGCTGCTTTTTGCTTTTCTTTCTATATATATATGTATATATATATATATGTATATATATATATATATATATATAGTGTTGCAACATGAAGTCATTTAAATCACACTGATCGCTGGACCTCAAGGACTCTTAAAGTTGGGAAGTTTTCGATTTTTTTTGGTGGGTTTGGGGGGAGGGGGGGGGGGGTTAAGTTTCTGAAAACGTGTAGATCTGAATCTGTCCCCCCCCCCCCCCCTCCCACACACACACACACACACACGCCCCCACCCCTGGGAAACATTGAGTGGGGCGAGTTGGGGGGAGTACCAGGGATGGAGGGAGAGAGAGGGAGAGGGCTGTTTGCTGCAAGTTTTGCTCAGGATCTCGCTGGCTTTGTTGACATGCACAACACTTTGGTTCCTACCAGGAGATACTTACTTCGTCTTGTTGTTGCTTTCCCCTCGGCTCACACTTGAGATCGCATCTCGCAAAAGGAATTTGGTTGCCTGGTTGAGAAATGCACCTTAAGTTTACATGCCTTCTCCTCCAGAGCCCAGTGTGTGTGTGTGTGTTGGGGGGGGGATCAGAAGACTAACTTCCTTAAGACATAAATGCACCCCCTCCCTCCAAAATGCTAACTTTTAAAGTCAATTACCAGTGATCCACTGGTGTGCAATTTTCTGTCACCACCAACGCAAGGAAATGGTGACTCTCTGCCTGTCATCTTGTCAAAGGTATTGCCTTGTGGATCCAGGCTGTAGGCAAAATAGCTCAGGAGGGGAGGGGGTTGGGGGTGTGGGGGGGGTGGGGGGTGGGGGGTGGGATTGGGGCAAACAATTCATAAAGAAATAAAAGCAAACTCTGCTGACATGACTGTGACTTTGATGGGATATCGTTCTCTGCTGCTTCCACGTTGGTGATGTTTTTCATCGCGAGTGTCAAGTGATTGATTCAAATAAAAGAGGTATTTTTTTTCTTTGAGAGACAGAGAGAGAGGGAGAGAGAGAGAGAGAGAGAGAGAGACTCTTATCATGTTAATTCTCCTGTATTAACCAGGACTCAAAGGACTGTTTGCACCACAGAGATGTCCCTCGGAGGGGCTCTGTGTATTGCATCTGCAACTTCACCCCCCAAAAAAAAACATTTGCACAACGTTATAACTGCGTTGATCCCCCCCAAAAAAACACACACACTACACACACACACACACACCTTTGCAATAACCTCAAGCATCACTGCCTGAAGTTAGAGCCAAGTGGGATTCTCACGCGGTAAATAAACACTGAGCTCTTAGGGTTAACACAAACACGTCGATGCCCACTGTTGGTGGTCAATACATTGCAATTGAAATTGGAGCTCGAAATCTTCTGCTTTTGTTTTCGAAGTCGTGCAATAACGCTTCTCCCCCCACACACACACACACACACGCACACACACGCAAATACTCCGCTTCTCTGGTCTTAACGCAGCGAGTAGATTGCGGGTTGGGATGATCCCCTGCAAAATGCAGTCGTATTGAAGAGCTGAGATGTAGTTAAGAGAGAGAGAGAGAGGAGGAGAGAGAGGGGGAGAGAGGGGGGAGGGGGAGAGGGTGGGGGGGGGGGGGAGAGAGAGAGGGGGGAGAGAGAGAGGGGGAGAGAGGGGGGGAGAGAGGTGGGGGGGGAGAGGGGGAAGAGGGGAGAGATGGTGGGGGGAGAGTGGGGGAGAGAGAGGGGTGGGGGGTGAAGGGACAGAGAGAAGGGGGGAGAGAGAGAGGGGGGGAGAGAGAGGGTGGAGAGAGAGAGGGGAGTGGGGGTGAAGGGAGAGAGAGAGGGAGGGAGAGGGAGGGAAGAGGGAGAGAGAGGGGAGAGAGAGGGGGGAGATAGAGAGAGGGGTGGAGAGAGAGAGGGGGGTGGGGGTGAAGGGAGAGAGAGAGGGAGGGAGAGGGAGGGAAGAGGGAGAGAGAGGGGAGAGAGAGGGGGGAGAGAGGGATGGGGGTGAAGAGAGAGAGAGATAGAGAGAGGGGGGGAGAGAGAGGGGGGGGAGAGAGAGTGGGGGAGAGAGGGGGGGAGAGAGAGGTGGGGAGAGAGGGGGAGAGGGGAGAGATGGTGGGGGGAGAGTGGGGGAGAGAGAGGGGTGGGGGGTGAAGGGACAGAGAGAAGGGGGGAGAGAGAGAGGGGGGGAGAGAGAGGGGTGGAGAGAGAGAGGGAGTGGGGGTGAAGGGAGAGAGAGAGGGAGGGAGAGGGAGGGAAGAGGGAGAGAGAGGGGGAGAGAGAGGGGGGAGAGAGAGAGAGGGGTGGAGAGAGAGAGGGGAGTGGGGGGTGAAGGGAGAGAGAGAGGGAGGGAGAGGGAGGGAAGAGGGAGAGAGAGGGGGAGAGAGAGGGGGGAGAGAGGGATGGGGGGTGAAGAGAGAGAGAGAGAGAGGAGGGGAGAGAGAGAGAGAGGAGAGAGAGAGAGAGAGAGAGGAGGGGAGAGAGAGAGAGAGGGGGGGAGAGAGAGAGAGAGAGGGGGAGAGGGAGAGACTGCTGTTCTGTTGTGATGTGACAGTGAGTGTGGAGGCAGTGAAGAGCTGTAGAGAAGCCTCGGGAGTTATCCCCAAATCAAAGCCACAGGACTCCCAAAGCCTTGAGATGTGCTCTGTTTAATGGTTTTTGCTCACATTGACCCCCTCTCTCCCCCCCCCCCCCCCCCCCCCCCCCCCCCCCCCCCCACACACACACACACTCTCCCTCTCTTCTTTTTGGGGAACACATTTATTCCAGTGCCTCCTGTATCTAACACAGGGTCAAACTCTGCACTGAGTTGCTTCTCATCAATCATCTTTGCAGCGAACCAACCGTGACAGATAAACTTGTCCCTAATAAAACCTCCCTCGCTCTTTCTCCCTGATATGTGTCATTGCTCCCATCAGACTGGTTTGGTTTATTATATTATATGTGTACATATATATATATATATATATATACATATATACCTATAGATATCTATAGACACAGGCGATGGTCTGCGGGTTTCCAGAGAGTGGAGGAATGTATCGCACCGATTGCCTTTGGAGTCTGAAACAATACTTTTAACTCTTTCAGTAGCCCCAATGCAGCAAAACGTGACACCAAATTCATGCTACCATAACCCCCCCCCCCACATACACACACACACACACCATCACCCCCCAACCCCATTCCCCCACACACACACAAAAAAAAATTATTCACAGAAAATAAAACAGTCACCACTGTATGCTATTTGAGATATCATTCATAAAATAATATTTGCTGCGAATTGTTGGTAACTGATTGTTGTTGGAGGTGTGTGGGGTTGGGGGGGGTGGGGGGTTAGCCTTATCCTCTGTACATGTCCTTCGATCATATCAGCAGTTGTGTTCTCCACAACTAACCTTTTACAATTCATCCTGACATTTTCCTTAACCGTGTCACCTATTCGGTAAGAAGAGGACTTTCTTTTTTTGAACCGAGTGTACAATACACAATTACGTTTGTATCAGCGCCTTTGAAGGCGTGAAGACGTCCCAAGGCGCTAGACAGTCAGGGATTTGGGATTGAGAAATTGAGTTAAATTGAGAAGGCGGGCAGAAGTTACAGAGTTAAACATGTTTACACATCAGTTCTATTGTTGTTGTATGAAATTGACCAGAGAACACACCGAGGCTCATTCCTGGATGGGTTTGAAATCCTGGATCTCACTCCAATTAGTTTGAGAAGCAGCTTAAATAGGAACAAACCAGATATGTGCTGTGCTGAGCATAGAATTGCAGATTTAACATGATTGGCCAACTTCAGCTTCAGTGGACATGGCTCAATTCAGATTAAACAAAGATACAGTTGAATTTTCCAAACAAAGCTGTATTTTACTGTTGCGACCCTTAACAAATACTTTGCCCTTGAGTAACAGCCAGTGTATTAATGAGCTCAGTGCCTAAAGGGACAATCTTTCCAGGGTGGGAGTGATAGTTTCTATAAATTTAAATCTCGCTAACATTTTATTTGGCAGATTGTAGGATGACATCTTGTCTGCAATGCCAATTTAAAGGGGATTGACCCTCCCCCCCCTTCCCTTTCATCGTGGCGCACTAAACTGGATGCTGTTTTTCAAGATCTTTTATCAACAGAGATGTAGCAAAACATGTTTAGAAGGTTCATTAACTGATCACAGTGCTGTGCAGCATTCAACAGGCATTTGGCTTCAGTGGAAATTGCACTGAGCGTCTTGTAGGTATTTCCAGCACCTAAGGCAGTGCAGGATGGACTTTCAGAGCTTGCTGTTCATGCAGCTGAAACCTGCGCAAACTGTTTGAAATGGGACAATACCTTTAAATTGCCATTGAGGACAACAACTTGATCACTTGATCCATGACTGTTTGTGGCACATTGCTGTGCGCAACTAGCTGCACGTTTCAGCCACAAATTACATTGTCAATCCACTTTACAATATATTCTGTGAAGTACTTTGAGACTTCCCAACAACGTGATGCGGCGCTATATCAAATTCAAGCATTATTATTATAACATTTTATTCCATAATCCGCCAAATAAAAGTGCTTGAGAGATTAATGTAATGTAAAGTACCACTCCCACCCTTTGTTTTACAGGAGAAGTGAATGTTTCTACTCATCAGTTCTTGGATTGATCAACCTTCCACATTGGTTTGCCATTGTCAGCATCAAATGCCCATAAGGCAAGTGCTGCAAGGGCTTTGATAGAGTCAATACAGATAAATTATTTCCACTGCTCAGTGAATCAGTGACTGGAGGGCATCAATTTAAGATAGTTAACATATGAACAAATGGGAAGATTAGGAGAGTTTTTTTTCAGGCAGAGAGTAGTTAGGATACGGAATGCCCTCCCAGGACTGGTGGTTGAGGTAAGGACACTAGACAAATATCTGAAAATGAGTAAAATACAGAGCTATTGGAAAAGGTCAGGTACAGTTATTATAGCCTGA